CCATTCAAGTGTAGCAAAGGTGAGAGATCTTCCAGTAGGAGTTCAAGTCTTTTTCATCATTAGAATCTCCACACCAGATCATAATCTGCTAATAATGCAAATGGAAAAAATGTACTTCTACATTTCAGGCTTTACTCAACATCAAAATATTGGAGAGAAAATTTTATATAAAGTTGTTAATATATAGCCCTGATCTTTTTCATTGCAGAAGAAGATAGTCTGAAGAGTGACTTGGTGAATGCAATGCTGATTCCTCATGGCATTCTTTTATTTAATAGGTGGTGTAAGTAGGTATATAAAATATATGGAACTCATTTAAACTATTTTTTTAAATATGGCCTACAAACATCTTTATTTTTTCTGCAATTTGGTTCCCGTTATAGCTTCTCTAAGATATTGTTAATATACCAATGTAAAGACACAATTAACTTCTGGAAAGTAGCTCATTTAGCTGTTTCTGCTGTTCTCAGCCCAAGTTCTCTCCAAAACAGACTCTTAGGTCTGCTGTTTCCTGAGCATCCTACTCTCCTGTTCCTTTCCAGGCACAACACTTGGATTCCTGTTAATTTCTCCATTTTCTTAGTACCGTCAAATGATGGTTTTCTAGTTTTAAGCGTCTCACCAGCAGGTATGCCGTCCTTACTTGATGTTCGTGTTCTGGTGTCTTTTTTCCTAAAGTAAAGCATCTACCTTTAAAAAGAATTGGAATTCCACATCCTGTCCATCCATGCGTTTGAAGGATTCCATCTCTGCTCTGTTTGTGGCAGGCAGCTAAACATTTTCAAATGACACCCAAGTTCTTAGCTGCCTTGTCTGCATCCACAGCCCTCTAAAAGAGATAAGGACATCAGGGAGCCAACAAGACTCCTGGTGGTCTAGCTACATTCATTCAGCACCTATTCTGCATGTCAAGGTTTAGAATTATTTTATATACTTCTGTTGAAGGCCAGCAAAATGCTCAGGTCTGCTTTTGATAGGGGCAAAATAAAAGAACATATACAGAAAAGTCAGAGAACTTTATAAGGGAATGCAGCTTTTCAAAAAAGATACTGCTCTTCTTCTGTAATCTCTCTGGAGAGAGAATTTCAAGAGTGGCAGGTATTCCTGATACAATTTTAACCACTACGATTGCTTCTTCATCTGTTTGGATTTTTGCCCCCCTCTCCCATCAGTCCAGGACAGTATTTGAAGTGTGGGGGCTTTGTGTATAATTGTTTATTCATCATCACATTTTCTGTATTTTATGAATCTACAGGCCAAGAACTTGGTTTTTTGATTGATAAAAGTGATCACAGATGTCAGGATGTCCAGAGTTCAGGGTCTCTGTCAACAACTCGCCAAGAATTCATGATTGTTTAGATGATGTTAGAGCATTTTATTATATTTTTCCATCTCAAGTTTCATAACATTTTGTGAATAAGATGTCACTTAAAAGTCACTGTCATTCCAGCAAGTGAGGCCTTTGTAGTTCAGATGTTAAAATATTTACTAGGGATCCTCAACAAATATATAACAATTTATTGCTTATTCTATAATCCTCTTATGGCTAAGCTCTAAGATAGTTCTACCACCATATTTTGCCTCTTAGCCGTCAGCAAGCATAGGATCTTATCAGGGCAAAGCAGAGATCTAAATGAATTGATTTAAATGTAAAAGCAAATGAAAAATGCATGTTTTTTCCCCTTGTTTATGAATGTGTATGCCCTTATGTACAGAGACCAATGGTCACTTCTGGTGATTATGAAACAGATTAATCCCTAAATAACAGAATATGTAAAAATCACATGTATGCATTTGGTTTAGGAATGTGCTTTTGTACTTCCACTTGAATAAAGGTGTGTTTGATACTCAGAATCTGTTTCAAAAAATATCTCAAGACCTCAACCAGAAGCATTTGGACATCTTGGAATCACCTTCCTGGCTGTGACTCACTTCCTTCAGAAACCTAGATCACTCTCTTTCATACTGATACAAAGCTTGCTCTTCCACAGACTTCGGGAACAAAGTCCATTGGAATGTTGAGGATTTTAAAAATTGTTCAGTTAGGATTTTGTTGGCACATAAATAGTTCGAGGTTTCAGTAGAACTAGGCAGAATGTGTGTGTGTGTGTGTGTGTGTGTGTGTGTTTTAAATAAGTAAAACATTTAAAAAAATGAGAAACCAAAATCTGGAGGACAATTAACTTGCCTCTTTAAACTTGTGATATTTAATCAGTTCAATATAATATGAGTTTGTGTTATTAGTCTTTTAATCTTGAAGATTGAGGAAGGAAGAGAAGAGATCCAATAGTTGAGGTCTACCAGATTTATCTTCTATCAGTCCACCTACCTACATGCATATGTATGTATATTCATAGTCGGACCTAATTCTTACAACTCCACAAGGGAACTAGCTCCATTTTACAGAGGAACTGAAGTGTAAAGAGGTTGAAGAATCTGTTAGGGTCACTCAGCAAGTTAATGGCTCAAGTGAGGCCTGACTCCAGGCTTTCCATTGTCATGATGTTGGTGTTAAACACATCCCAGAACCCAGAGAAGTTTTCTTTGGTAGCTCTTTATTCCTTGTTATATCCTTAGTGGTTGACTATTAGCAGTTTGCAGTTAATCTGAATGCTTCCAGAGCTGTCTGGAGTACTACTGGAGTATTCAAGGTAATCTCTATATCTTTGGGGAGCAAATCAGAGATCCTCCTTCCTGAAACAGGCTTAGATAATTTTGACAATGACATGCCACAGGTCAGAGCTCCCAAATTCTTAACCTCCTGTCAAGCTATCCTAGCTCCCATCACTATACACATATCCATTTCTCAATGGCCAGAATGTGCTCTTTTCCCCTGCTAATTGGAACTTGCTGATTGATGGACATGTACTAGATTTCCTATCACTTCTGATTAAATTATAGCAGTGAACAGGGTGGGTAATGGGAAAATCAAGTTTGATTACTAGGTTTTTGACTGGAGCAAGAGAGTGGATAGATGTAGACTGGAGAGATGGGGACCACTGGAAGAGGAGCAGGGAGAGTATTTCAGGCAAAAAGCATGTCAGAAGGCCTCCAGATGAAAGAGTTTGGCATCTTCAATGTAGTAAGCTCTCTGGAGGAATGGTTCACCCTAGGAAGTAGTGGCCAACTGAGGAAATTTAAGAATGAAGTTCAAAGGAGGCCCCTTGGGTGTCATAACCGCAAAGCACAACGGGATTCCCACATCTGAAAGTGTGACCACCTCTATCCTTTCATTCATTCAGTAATACAGTTGCCAGATGCTCTGTGATATTCAGTGCTAACCTGTGGGCACAGTTAAACCATCTACTAAGTAATGAAGACAACATTAGTCACAGCAATGACTTGAAAATTGGACATACCTGTGTTTCAACTTTGCTGTTTACTAGCTGTGTTACTTTGGACATTTTAGCCTCTGGTTTCCTTGTCCATGTGATGATTAATAATAGCATGAAAATTAAACCAAGTAATGGAAAAGGTACTGGTCATGTATTAAGTGCCAAAGAATTACAAATATAAACATAACTATAAAAACCAGTGAGAATGTAAGTGTTTAGCATGAAGTCTAAAAAAGAGCGAATTAAAGGGCAAGCATTTAGCAGTGCAGGACTAGCATTGTCCAGGGAGGGATACCCTGGATTTGGAGAACTTAAATATGGCTTGAGAGGTCATCAGGAATCCTAGACTGGTAGGAACTGCTTCCCCGTAGGCGCTCCTTACTGGAGTTAGCAAACCTTGACATCTCTTTTTGCTAAGATTTGGACCCTTTGGGATCACATTTTACACTCCCTTCAAAATATGGGTGCATGAATGAACCAGCGTTTAATCCGAGACTGGAAGGATGATTTCAAACAGGTAGTGCACTGTACAAGTCAATGAGAAAATAAATACTGGAATTTTTCATTTTGCGGATGCATCCTGTTCACACTCTTCACTTTTATTTTTTTAAGATTTTATGTATTTGGCAGAAATGCAGCGAGAGAGGGAACACAAGCAGGGGGAGTGGAGAGGGAAAAGGATTTCTGCTGAGCAGGGAGCCTGATGTGGGGCTCCATGCAGGGCTCATCCCAGGACCTTGGGATCACGGCCTGAGCTGAAGGCAGTCGCTTAACAACTGAGTCACCCAGGCACCCCCACACTCTTCACTTTTAGAAAATGGTTGACCTCACATTTGTAATCCATTCATGTTTATAAATTTACAACTTGGGCATAATGCCAGTGTCTGTCTTTTTTCCCCCACACCTGCTCCAATTACAAATCTCCACCCAGTCTAGCCTTTGTCCTTCCCCAGACTCTGGTTTGAACTGGCCAGGGGTCTAAAGGCTGCCTTTACTTACTGTGTCTGCAGTTTGAGGCACCTAAAATTGTGAAAAAGTACCAACTTCATGGGATTGTTGTGAAAATTAATGAGACGCCATTTTACTCCCTAAGTGGTAACTGCTGTTTCTGAGTTTAGCAGGAAATATCCCTATCAGGAACAATTCATTTCCCTAACATTTTTCCTGCATCAACATATCAAATATACCTCTGGCAAACTTACCTAGGTACAGTAGGGGGTTTGAAATCTTGATCCTATTTCTGAGGCTTTTCTTCCTCTTTTAGCCCATGGATACCAATATGTTAGCCCTGCTTACTTCCACTCCAGGCCCAGTTCAAGTGTAGGGGTTGAAGCGACATAGGGAGAGGACAGGCTGGATTGCGGGTATAGATAAGGGATTTCCTCCCAGCAGGGTCATCCCCGCCTTGTGATTTGGAAGAAGGGAGGTGGGGATGGGTGGTAAAACCGCAGGGGTCAAGGGAGTAGGCGAATGGGGGTGCATACGGGACAGTAGGGGTGAGAAAGAAGTAACCAATTTAGATCCTAGGTCCACATGGGTGATGAAGGGCAAATAGGGAAATCTAGCTCCATCTCCCTCAATGCCTCCTTGGGGCCGGAAAGAGACGCGATCCTAAGCCGCTCTGGGCCAAGCTCCCCCCCAGCGGCTCCTGAGAACTCGCGATCGAGAGGAGACCTCCGAGCTGCCTAGACGGGACCCGGAAGTGCGCACGGGGGAGCCCGAGTTTCCAGTGGTGCGGGGGGATCGTGGTCGACGCTGCTGCGGAGCGGCTGCGCCAGTGAGTATCGAGGTCCGGGACCGGGAGCTGCCGGCCCGCGCAGTCGCTAGGGGAGAAGCGCGGTCCTGCGGCGAGGGTGGGGCTCGGGCCGAGGGGACCCCGGTGGAGTGGGGGTGGGGCCTCAGGCCGGACCGCGCCCCCGGCTCCGGGGCCCAGCCTGCCAGGGGGGAGAGAAGTGGGACCCTCTCCTGGAAAAGCTTCACTTGCCGGTTCCCCTACATCTGCCCTCTTCTCCCTCCCTTTCCCGCAGTGACTGCCCGTCCGTTGTGCCGCGCTCTAAAGAAATTTTAGAGGTCTGGTCTTTAGAGCAGCACCGGGGATTGGATCCAGCCCATGGAGAAGCTGCCTGAGCAGATAACCCCGGAGTCCCTGTACCCATCCTCCCAGCAGGAGCCCCGAAAGAGCAAGGGTGAGGAGCTGACCTAGCTGGCTTTCTTTGTCTAAACTTTGTCCTTCCAGCCGCGGCCTCGGATCAGATGGACACGATTAACTTTACACTTAGAATTGGCCTGGTGGAAAACTACTACCCCCCACCCCTTTTTTTAACCTCAGGGCTCTATTACCTGTAAATAAAGCCTTTAACCAAAGTTTCCTCTCTTGACTGTGTGGAGCAGACCTGCCTCAGCAGTACTATCCTAGCACTAAGTCTTGGAGGATCTGTCATTCCAGCACCTGCCAACTTGCTTGGCTTTCTGAGCAGCTCAGGAAATGTTGTGTGAATAAATGAATGAATGAACTTAGCCAAGTATGTCCCATAGCTGAAGTACCAGGAAAAGAGCGGGCTTCTCCGCTCATCCTACCCAAGCTCTCCTTCATCCTTAGGGAAGATACATTTACTACCTGAGGTGTAAACTCCAAGAGGGTGCTTTGCCTGTGGTGTACAGTAGATAAGCTGCCACCTGCTGATGGAAAATGAGGTTAAGCTATTAGTATCAACATTTTAATTTCAATCTGCCATCCATCCCACCATTAAGTAGTATATGTCTAGCCATTAAAAAAAAGATTATTAAAATGGGTGACAAAGACTTAGATAAAGACTCTGAGATGGCTTATTTTGGGGGAGATTTTCTTTTACACATTTATTTGTAAGAACTATGTTTTCAGACTAATTTGTTAACTTGACAGGTATTGATTGAGCTCTTAGTATGAGGTGTTGGGACTAAGTTGGAAGAAAACCAAACCCCTACTCACCCACAAACGTAAGAGTTGGAATAGTTACCTGTGAGAGGCTTCGGGACAATAAACTGTAGAAGTTTGCAAGAGGAGTTCCCCGTAGACTGGGTTTTGGCCCTGGAAGTCTTAGAAAGTCAGAAGTCTCACCTTGAAAGAATTTAGAGTAAGAAAGGTATGAAGTTGGCGTTTCTCTTTTAAGTAGTATACTATTGTTGTATTTATTTATTTATTTAGAGAGAGCAAGTGAGCGAGCGGAGGAACAGAGGGAGAGGGAGAGAATCCTAAGCAGGCTCCATGCCCAGCATGGAACCCGACATGGGGCTCGATCTCACGACCCTGAGACCATGACTTGAACTGAGATCAAGAGTCTGACGCTTATCTGACTGAGCCACCCAGGTGTTCCAGAAAGGAGTCAAGTTTTTTTTTTTTTTTTTCTAAAGATTTTTTAAAAATTTATTTATTTGACAGACAGAGATCACAAGCAGGCAGAGAGGCAGGCAGAGAGAGGAGGAAGCAGGCTCCCCGCTGAGCAGAGAGCCAGATATGGGGCCAATCCCAGGACCCCAAGACCATGAGCTGAGCCGAAGGCAGAGGCTTTAACCCACTGAGCCACCCAGGAGCCCCGAAAGGAGTCAAGTGTTAAATGAGAGGGGATAGATGCTTACCATAGGCTCCCTGTTGCTAGTCTTTCTAAAAGACCAAGTGCCTGTACTCATCTTCCAAAATACTCATTTACTCATGTTGGTTCACAGTGCCCACTGCATTTAGTCCATACTCCATAACCTGGCATCCAGGGTCCTCTGCAGTGTGGCCTCAACCTACCTTGAAATCTTTCCTGTGTGTTCCCCAAAACAAACCCAGCAAGACTGGTGTGTCTGCACAAAGTAATGCCACAGACCCAGCGCTCTCCACCGTTGTGCCTTTGTGTCCTTTTTCTCACGTGCATTGCTGTCCCCTACATTCTCTGCCTACCCAAACGCCACATATCCCAGCGTCCCATGCACGGCAGCCTCCTCCATGAAGTTTATGAAACAGACTTGGGCTGTGAGGAAGGAAACAAACAGATGCAAGAGACGTTTACATGAAAACCCAAGGACCTGATGGTTGATTGAGCATTAGGGAGGAATTGGGTACAATCGCCCTTGTTCCCGTCACTGTCATACCCCTTAAAAAAATTATCACTAGTTGCTTTTGCTTTTGTAATGCAGGGCACTGCTTCTGCTCCATCAGAATTGATCAAAGCCACGTTGCCAGTGGCTTAGCTAATGAATCCACTGAACACCTTTTTTCAGCTTTAATTTTTTGGTGCCTTATAACTATTTTTTTGTTGATGTGATCGCTCTTCCTTGCACATCGTGTTCTTTGGTTTTGGAAGTACTCTCCATTTTCTTCTGGTCTTCCTCTTGCCTTCTCAGGCCTTCCCCACTCCTGTTTCTCCATCTGTTTTTAAACATTGGTTTTTCCCCAAGACTGTTCTTAGCCCTCTTTTTTTCACTCCCGTGGGTGATCCTATCCCCTTTCAGGACCTCTCTTAACTGCTTTCTTCTGCTCTTGCTGCCAGCTGGTTCCTGAATACTAGATGTTCATGGGTGTACTTTGGAGCTCCTTGTTTTCTGCCAGGCCCCCACCTCCCTACCTTCCAGTGACTACCTTGGTTAATTTTAGTAACTGGTTTTCCCAAGCTTGAAAATTTGGAGTTGTACTCTACTATTCTCCTTCCCTCCATATTCAGTCAACCACTGCCAAATCCTGTCAGTTTTTCTTCAGAAAGGCCTGATTCTGTTGCCTGTGACTGCCATTTCCTCATTTTAGACCCATTTTAGTTTTCTTGGAGCGTTGACACATCCCTGTGCTATTGGCCATGTTCCCTACTCGAGGCTGTCCTCCATCTGCTGCCAGAATGAATTTCCCTGGAAACAAATTTGATCAAGTCAGTCTCTGTCCAAAGCCCTGGGTGTGGCATATATGCTTCTTCATATCTGGCTCTACCCTTTTCCTATCTTCCTTTTTTCCTTCCTTCCTTTCTTCCTCTCTTGAGAGAAAGAGAAAGCACGAGTGGGGGGGCAGCATCCTAAGCAGACTCTGTGCTCAGCGAATAGCCCAATGTGGGCTTGATCTCATGACCCCAGGATCATGACCTGAGCCGAAATCGAGTAAGACACTCAACTGATTGAGCCTCCCAGGCACCCCGTCTGGTTCTCCTCTATTTTTCTGCTGTATCTCTGGCTTCCTGCCCACATGGGCCATATATTTCACTCAATGGAGGTTTTCTTTTCTTTTTTTTTTTTTTTTAATTATTCCTTAAACTTAGTGTTCCCCTCCATGTTGCTGAGCCTTCGCAGATGCTCTCTTCTTGGGCTTCTCGAGGTCTGTCTCAGTCTGGCCACTGTCTGCTGAAGCATTCCAGAAGGTCCTACTCTCTACCAGGGTTCGAATTCAAGTTTTTGATATTTTTTCTGTAAGTGTCTCTGACCCATGAAGAGATACATCTCTCTTAATTCTGTTTGAGCCTCACTCCTGAAGACGTTTTACAAATGGTCTGTTTGGGCCCCTCAGTGACTTAACGATTCTTCTCTGGATTGCTGGGAGATAAACAGGAGCATTTTTTTAGTTTTGTTTGTTTTTTTGAAGATTTTATTTATTTGAGAGAGAGAGAGATAGCAAGAGAGATCATGAGTGGGGAGGAAAGGAAGCAGGCTCCCCGATGAGCAGGGAGCTTGATGTGGGGCCAGATTCTGGGATGCAGAGATCATGACCTGAGCCATAGGTAGATGCTTAACCAACTGAGCCATTCAGGCGCCCTAATTAGGAATATTTTGAAGCACCAAACTGTGTGCAGGGTTCTTTACATAGTACTGGGCTTGAAGACAAAGAAATGGAAGACATCATTTTTTTTTTAATATTTTATTTATTCATTTGACAGAGATCACAAGTAGGCAGAGAGGCAGGCAGAGAGAGAGGAAGGGAAGCAGGTTCCCTGCTGAGCAGAGAGCCTGACGCGGGGCTCAATCTCAGGACCCTGAGATTATGACTTGAGCTGAAGGCAGAGGCTTTAACCCATTGAGCCATCCAGGCACCCCTGGAAGACATCTTTTATTTTATTATTATTATTTTTAAAGATTTTATTTATTTATTTGACAGACAGAGATCACAAGCAGGCAGAGGCAGGCAGAGAGAGAGGGGGAAGCAGGCTCCCCAGGGAGCAGAGAGTCCAATGCGGGGCTCAATCCCAGGACCCCGGGACCATGACCTGAGCCGAAGGCAGAGGCCTCAACCCACTGAGCTACCCAGGCGCCCTGGAAGACATCTTTTAATCTAGAGATACTTTCAATATAAATTGAAGGGAACACACACAACTAAAAATACTTCCAAGGAGAGGCCCCAAGACGATGTGGTTAAATTCTATGAAGGAGGCAGAAAGCAAATGCTTTAGAGATTGAAGGACGAGCTCACTTCCAGGTGGGATTAGAGTAGGGTTAGGTTTCAGGAAGGAGGCTGCCTTTGAGCTGGGGTCTGGAAGGTTGAGTAGGTTTTTGATAGGTGGAGGAGAAGGATGTGGGAGGGGATATGCATGGTCAGGAAACTGTTCACATTGACTGGAGCATAGAGGAGATGTGACAGAAGATGAGTCTGAGACAGAGTAGAGTAAGACTGTGGGAAAGGAATGCCAGGCCAAGGAGCTTAGCTTTTGTTTGGTAGATATTGAAGTATGTTATGTAGGCTTTTCTTTTTTTTCTTTTTTTTTTTTTTTTTAAAGATTTTATTTACTTACTTGACAGAGATCACAAGTAGGCAGAGAGGCAGGCAGAGAGAGAGGAGGGAGCAGGCTCCCTGCTGAGCAGAGGGCCCGACCCTGAGATCATGACCTGAGCCGAAGGCAGAGGCTTTAACCCACTGAGCCACCTAGGCGCCCCTATGTCGGCATTTCTTAATAGGCGGCTAGCCAGTGAGCTTTGTATATCAAGGGAGAGAATCTGATTTGTTGAGTGTGGTACGGGAGGTCAGAGGTGATTAGGATCTGACTTAGGCCGTTACTAGTGATAATAGGAGGATAGGGACAAAAACCAAGGAGTGTATTGTAGGTAGAAACAGTAGTACTTATTTACCGAGGGGATGTGGGGCAGAAAAGGGAGTTACTGCTCGTTGTCACCCATTCCCTTTTTATTTTGAAAACGCTAAAGCTAGAGGAGAGTTGCAAAGAACAATATAACAAATACTCATATACCAGAGGGAGGA